ATAAAACGTGAGCAGAATGTGGAATTGGGACGGGACGGTTTGGGGTGATGTTCAAACGCCAGGGGGCCCTCAACGGGCCCCGTGGCCCTTCAAAAACGACATCCATGATGAACAACCCAGCCTGAGAGGTAAGTTGTCCAGACCTCTTATGGGGTCACGCATCGACATCAATTGGAGCGCCAGATGTTTGGGAAACTACGTACACTTTCTCGTCCTGGATGGCCTTCGTCGCCACGGCGTGTGGTTCTCCTCGACACGTTTGTCAGAACACAGGGAAGCGCCTTGGCAGGTGCCTTCGGGCGCCTCAGGATGGCGTCATGGCAGGCATTTTCGAGCTGCCCAGGGAAGCGTTCTGGCAGGTACCCTCGGGCTACTCAGGGAAGCGTCTTGGCGGGTAACAGTTCATTACCTGCGGACTGTACTCAGGAAAGCGTCCTGGCGGGTACACACGCTGTGAGTGAAGTTCGAACTGGCTTCTCACGCCTTCTGCTAGAGCTGACTCGATGCCCAAGAACACCTTTGGGCCTGTAGGGGTATTTATCTTTATGTTCCTCGTGCTTGGACTCTCCATTTTGAGAGGCTCTTCGGTTGGGGCACCTACATGGGGCATTAGGCCTTCGGCAAACCCAGACATCCCTCGATATGTGTTATTTTACATGCGACCCCAGAAGTCCCGACCGCTTCCCCAGGGTGTTTCTTGCGCCCTGGATCCATGTTTAAAAGCCGCGGGACTCGACAATGTAGTCGACGAAACCCGCCCAGATTGAAACAAAGCATATCGTAGGAGATTTGGGAAGGGCCTTGTGCTGTGGCCCAGAATCAGCACGCATGGAACGATCTGGCGATCGGAAAGCAGCTAGGTCGTTGAAAGTTGAAGGATCCACGTGGTGTCTGGGGTCGTCACGACACGGACTTGTCGTTCCAGAGATCTGATGTATCATTTTACCGATACGGGCCACAAGACGTCCCGACCTTAGTGGGCCCTGGAAGCGACAGGGCCGTTTTTTTACCGGTTCCGTTTTGCCGCTTTTTTGCCGGTTCCGACGCCGTTTTTGTTGCCGGTTCCGTCGCCGTTTTTTGACCGGTTCCGGCTCCGGTTCCAATATTGGAGCCGTTTTTTTTGCCGTTTCTGGTCGCCGTTATTTTGCCGTTTCCATTTTCGAGGGACATTTTTTTGGGAAACGGTGAAAATACGGCCCTGCCGTTTCCGGGGCCCACAAAGGTCCCGACCCTTTCCTGGGGCCGTTCTCTCAGCCCGGGTTGTTCCTGGGCGGTCCCGGGGCCTGGCCAGGGCCCCCTCGGGCTGAAAGCGGCGAGGACCTCCGAGTATGCAGTCGGGGCGCTGAAGAAGGAACCCTTTTCGTTGGGGAGGGGCTCCGTGTTCTTTGATTTTTTCACAGCTTGCCCTAGGTTTTCCTGAGGTTTTCGATGGCAAATCGAACCTTCACTGATGGGTCAAGGGGCCTCGTTCCTTATTTAGGGTTCCTTAGGTCAACGTCCCGACTGTAATATTCTCCTTTGTATTGGAAGTCCAGGGTGCGCTCTTGTAGCCCTGCTCCAGCGGCGCTGACCTCCACCCACCGCGACACGTTTGTTTCGTCCGCTGGAGCGTCACGGTCGTGGACGGCCCCCCAGGCATCGTTAACGAACGTACGCAGGGGCTGGACCCGCGCAAATTATCGCGGTCCTTCGCAGCACACCCCGGCTCCGACGCTTGGCGTCGCTCGGACGTGTGCATTGTTCTCGGCGAGGACCATCGAGGAGCATCTTTGATCATTTAGCGAAAAAAACACGTGCGAAATCGAACAATGCACGGGGAATGGATGTCTGAGCGATGGCGAGGACGTGCCCAAGCGTTTCCGTTCTCTGGCCCCCCACCTGTTCCCCCGGGTGACGACCGCTACCCGGAAACATCAGCACACAGTCTCTCGAGGAGGGGCCATGGGGCGCTGGTGGTAAAGGGTCGATTCACTCCTTGTAAGGGGCCACGAGCTCTTCCCAGGAGGGGCTCCTGGGGATTTATGGCACCAGCTCTTCCCAGGAGGGGCCTTCCCAGGAGGGGGTCCTGGGGCTCCTTCGCTTCGTAGCTGCAGGACCGCGCAGGGCACGCGCAGCGCTCGCCGTAAAGCAGGTGGGTCCTGCGGGAACCGGTTTCCAGAGGCTTCCCGCCGCTGTGAAGCCCTCAGGGCCCTCCCCAGGTTCTCGACGATGTGATTTGTCGTAGATTTGGGCCATCATCTCCGCCGAGCTGGTTGACCAAGCGTTACCGTTACCCGGCCCCCCCCCTTTCCCCCACACCCCAGGTGACGACCGCGATCGGAAGTGATGGAGAAAATCAAATGGCCTCGACAGTAGGACCCCACATGAACATCTCTCTAGTTAGTCTGGGAGTAATCCTCGCCTGCATGAGGTGCGGGCCCCATAGGGAGGGGGCTCTAGCTCGAGACATCTTCCATGTTCAATCCTCGGGATTTCAAAAGTGATGACAATTACAGGTTTAGAACGACCCTCTGGAACTAAAAATATGAGGCGCGGGCCCCATAGGTGGACAGCTCCTGCCTGAGACCGCCTCGCAATTCACTCAGACAAGGCCCCCGCCTGAGTTTTCCTGAAGATTCAAGTCCCAAAGGTCTAGGAGTAATGGCAGCTATAGGTTTCGAATGACCCCTGGGGGTCAAAACCATGAAGTGCGAGCCCCACAGGGAGGAGTCTCCCGCCTGAGACTTCCTCGCAATCCACTCGCAGACAAGGTCCCCGCCTGAGACGTCCTGCGGAGTCAAGCCTCAGGGCCCCAAAAGTGACGACAGCTATAGGTTGTGAGGGGCCCCCTGGGACTATAGAAATTTGGTGCGGGCCCCGTAGGGAGGGGGCTCGCGCCTGATATCCCCTCGAAATTCATTCAAAGACTCACAGACAAGGACCCCCGCCTGAGACTTCCTAAATATTGAAGCCTGAGGGGCCCTGACGACGACGACGACGATGGTGATGATGATGACGATTATGTTGATGATGATGTTGTTAATGATGATGATGCAAAGGATGCTGATGATGCTGATTGCGATGATGGTGGTGATGCTGCTGAGGATGAGGATGAGGATGATGGTGGTGCTGGTGATGTTGATGGTGATGGTGATGGTGGTTGGTGATTGTGATGGTGATGGTGATGGTGATGATGATGATGGTGGTGATGAGGATGATGATGCTGATGATGCTTATGATGATGATGATGATGATGATGATGATGATGATGATGATGATGATGATGATGATGATGGTGGTGGTGGTGGTGGTGGTGGTGGTGGTGGTGGTGGTGGTGATGATGATGATGATGATGATGATTATGATTATGATTATGATGATGATGTGTCAGTCAGTAACTTGCGATGATAGGTGGTCCCCAGAGGCCGAAAACAGAAACATAATCATCCGAATTGCCTGTTTCGATGCGTTGTTCTAGGGTCTAGGGTACGCTCTTGTGGCTGTGCTCCGACGGCGCTGGCGTTTCCTCGGCCCTCTCTCCTCGCGGTATGCCTTCAGTGCCGGGCCTCCCACAGCGACCGCTTGTCTTGCCACTCCATCCCTGTCTCCCTTCCACTCCCAGTTCGGTTGATTGCCTCCGAGCAGCATGGAGCCAACTTCTGTTGCATCCTCTCGCGGTGTGGGGCGTGACCGGGGGCGGGGAGGGAGAGGGGTAGGGGGCCGCTCATGTCACGATTCGCGCTGGCGCGTCTGGGAATACGGCAGCATTTTCATAGCTCCCAGAAGCGCCGCCGGCGCGAATCGTGACGCCACCACGGGTGGGGGAAGGATGCGGGCGGGGCGGGTCACGGGAGATCTCGCGCAGATCGAACTTGAAGTCGTTGGACTATGTGAGCGGCGGAGTAGCATCGGGTCGCTTGCGCCGACACTGGCGCGTGAGCTCCCCGCGTAAGGTCGCGCGTAAGCCACCACGTAAGGTCCCTACGCCTTGGGCGGGGCTTGGACGAGGATGCATCCGTTCCAGAGCGTTTCGGAACGCTCTCGGATCGTTCTGGAACGCTCTCCAAGAAGGCGCGACGCCCGATACATCCTCCAGAGCCACCAGATCTAAGGGAGTCTCGGTTTTCTGGTTGACCAATAAGGGGGTCCATTGGTGCACTAAAGTTGTGGGGTTGCAATCGATTCGGGGCGTGCAGTACATAGTACATTCCAGAGCGCAGGTGTATTGCTGGATTATCGCGTGCAATGCATTAGCTGCAGTACAATGCAATGCAATTCTCTAGCGCAATCCATTTGCAATACTACTGCCCCACATCTCTTGCACCACCCCCTTTCAGCGGGACCCCTTTTCCCCCTTGTGGTTCAACCACAGATTTATCCTCACCCACTCGCATCAAGGGAGGAAAAACCACCCGGACCGGACAGTTGGCGTTTACGAAACGGCCCCGGGCGTTTACTAGACAGCCCTGCCCTGTTGGATTCCTTCTTTGGGTGCGTTTATTATAAACAGCTACGCGTGTCGGGGTGGTTGTTGTCGGGGTGGATGTTCTGCCCTCTAATGGAGGATGACGATTAATAAATGACCGGGGGTCGTGTTCACACGGCGGCGCCCGGGATGACGATTCGGAAAAAACCGGCCGCGGGCCGGACAACTATTTTTTTTATCGGTCTCCCCCAGTCAAACAATGGCGCAGAAACAGCAGAAGACTATTTGTTTCCAATCGTTCTCTCCCATTTTTTTTGTTCATCGTCATGCCGCACTATTGTAGCCACGTGCCCTGGCTTCGTCTCGATGCCACCCCGCGTAAGCCACAGCCCTGCCCTGCCCTGTTCGATTCCTTCTTTGGGTGCGTTTACTATAAATAGGCTTCGCGTGTCGGGTTCTCGTCGGGGTGGACGTTTTGCCCTCTATTGTAGCCATGTGCCCTGGCTTCGTCTCGATGCCACCCCGCGCAAGCCCCGCTCCTCCTCGCCGCCCACGCGGCGGCGGAGCTGCCGGCCCCCGCCCCACCTCGGCCGAGGTGGGCGGCCTGCGACGCCGCCTCCCTCGAGTGGCGGCGGCGGGTCCTGTCCGAGGCCGCCGCGCACGACGGTCTGGCCTCCCTGCAGGCCGGCCGCCGCCGCCGCTGCCGAGACCGCGCGGGCCGGCGTCATGCGAGAGCGGTTTTTCTCAAGTAGTGGCGGCGAAGCGTCGCGGTTTGCCCATGGCTCAGTGGGCCCTGGAAACGACAGGGCCGTTTTTTTGCCAGTTCCGTTTTGCCGTTTTGATTGCGGGTTCCGACGCCGTGTTTTTGCCGGTTCTGCCGCCGTTTTTTGACCGGCTCCGGCTCCAGCTCCTATCCTGGAGCCGTTTTTGTTGCCGTTTCCGGTCGCCGTTTCTTTTGCCGTTTCCAGTTTTAAGGGACCTTTTTTTGGACACGGTGAAAAAACGGCCCTGCCGTTTCCGGGGCGCGGCTTCATGTGAGAGCGATGTTTCTCAAGCAGCGGCGAAGCGTCGCGGCTTGCCCATGGGTCCACCAGAGAGTGTTCTCAGAACATTTGTTGGCCGAGGCTGTCTGGTTCTTGAGACAGCGGGCCGTCGTGTTTGTTACACCTTGCAAGCCGGCCGCCGCGGCCCAGACCGCGCGGGCCGGCTGCACTGAAGTCGGGCACGTCCCTCGACAGAGGGAATACACAAAAATTGTCAAGCAGTAGTCTGGGTACAATTTGTTTTAACTCGGTTTGACCATGTCCGACAATTTGCTGAGTATCTTGTAGATTTTGTCGTCCACAATCCGCCCGTAGGGGGACATGCTCGACAGGCCCGACATGCCGCAGTGACCTTCCAGCGCGTGCCCTAAAGGGCCCCCCCCGATCGCGAAGGAAGTGCGGCGCGGCAGCAGCGGCTTGCGCGCCAAGCCGTGTCCCCCAAGGGCCCCCGCTCGGGCCGCGCACCAAGGGCCACGCCTGCCTCGGGCCACCCTTGCTCAGGAGGGAAAAATTCACACGGACACAATTCATGGGGACACGAATCGAGAAAGCATGGGAAACCATACTCCAGATTTCGTAATAAAGGGAGGGGGGTCTCATTTCGGGGGGGGGTCTCTTCCAGCCTATCTTGGAGGGTCTGGGGGGGTCTGGGGACGATGTTTTGGAGGGTTCTCCCGGGGGGGGGGGTCTGAAATGGCTTGTCTTGGAGGGTCCAGACCCCCTCCCTTTTATTACGAAATCTGGAGTTCGGGGAATCTTGTTTTTTTGTGCCTATTCACTGCTGTGTCCCAGGGCCCCTTCACTTGCGCGTGGCCGCACGGGGAGCGCACGGGGCCCGCCACGAGCGGCGGCGGAGTCCGAGATCACGTGCCTCGTGGCAGCACAGCACGGGGTCGTCGAGGATGCAGGAGCCCCGGACCCTACTTACTATCACGATGCAGACGCAGCCTCACCGAGGTCCCCGTCGCGTTGCAGCACGGTCAACCCGTACAGTAAGGATGCGTGGTAGGGATGCAAGGGCCCTGGGCGCCCATTTCGACGCTCTTCGAGCGGGGCGCGGGCAGCGAAGGCGGCCAAGGATGGGCCGAGGAGGCAAGGATGCAGGGGTCGCCTTGGAAAGGTTCTCATCCTTACCATGCGGGCTGTACAGTGCCGTTTTTTTTATATACATGCTCCGCGTGCGGGTCATGTACAAAAAGATGCAGGAATTTGTATTAAGAAACAACGATGAGTTCATGCATACATTTATTCCTAAATGAATCATGGATGAAACATCCGATATGTGTAAACAATCCTACGTATTAAAAGCTGCCCTGTAGGGACGATGCGCCTGGGCGGCTTGGCTCGACGCCTCTGCAGAGCAGACCGCCCGATCCCCCAATGTGCTGGCCATCTTAGCTTTAGGCCCCGTCCCGAAAAGGGCTCGGGGTCCTTCTAGTGCTAATCTCGGAGATTGACAGACCTCCTGCCCTGACACGTCGATTCGTGAATTGGCCGTTTTCGGTTCGCGAGAGGGCGTCGCGGCCCGTCGGTTTCGGTCCCAGGCCGTTTTCACTAAGGTGAGGTCTACCAAAGGGAGGTCTGTCCACCGCCGATAATCGTGGGAGCCTTGCGTTCGGCGCCACCCCAGCATTCTCATCCTGGGTGTGCGTCGTCCCCCGCCAGGGGCGGCGCGCGCGCGCCGAGAGATCTCACAGCACGTGCTGCGTGCCAGGCGCTCTCTGGCCGTGCCGCTCGGGAGACGACACACAGCCGGCCCGCGCAGCAAGGATGGGCGAGTTGTCAGGGCTACCCTGGCAGGGCTCATGCTCATTTCGATTCCTCCGCTTCGATTCGGTTCGGTTTCGATGGCTTCACATTCCGACTCGATTCGACGCAGGATTCCGATCTGGGCTCCGATCTCTTATCGGGGGCCTACTAGCCTGCCGATTTCCGCCGATTCGAGACGGAGTAGAAGGCTCCCAGGAGTTGCCACCGAACGTTCGCCGATCAATGAGGCAGGCAATTCGATGGGCGGCGTGGATCGGATTCGGGATTCGTCGAGCACGCGGCAAAATCTGACCCCTGCGCCCGCCCCCCATCGATCCAGGGGAGAGTCCATGGCTGGTGACGGCAGGGCGAGGATGTCGCCACCGAGTGGTGCGCAACCCCCAGGCCTTCGCCGCTGTGGCGTTTCCCACATGGGCGCTTTCCCTCGTCGACTCTTGGCCTCCCGGGCCCGATGACGGGCCCAGGAGGGGTCCCGGACCTCCTTGTGCTTCGGAGAGGAGCCCTGAGGCTTACAGTATCACAGGATACCTGCCCCCTTCAAAGGGCCGCCAGCCCTTCAGAGGTTGTGTATGTCTGATCCTCTGGTGCGTGACGGTCGTTCCCCCCGTCCCCCCCCTCCTCCCCCCCGAGGGTATCGCAAGTGGCGAAAGCACGTGTCGGTCGTTGGAAGTAGGTGTTTCTGGATCCGCACAGCTCAATCTTTTTTGGGCGCCTTCCTACTTCAAGGGTCGAGCGGTTTCACCTCTTCCCTCCCCTTCAGGGGGCGGGCGGAAGCCCAATCTATTTCCAACGCCTTCCTACTCCATGTTTCTAGTCGCTTCTTCCGACCGACGGGCATCTGTATCCGCACCATCGCGGATTGGATTCCTGGGCGCGATCCCGCGGATTCGCGGTCGCCAGGATACGATCCGCGCGGGGCATCTGCGAACAGAACGCTCGTATCCGCGGGGTCGCGGTCCAGAGGCTGGGCCCGCGAGGCCGCGGGTGTGGATGTGTGTTTTTGCCCACGAGGGGCAACGGTTATGATCGTGCGTAAGGGGGGGACTGGACCCCCACTTCCTGCTGGTGCTCGCGCGCATACTATAAAAGAATTGGGGGGGGGCAGCCCAGGACCCCTCGGGTAGGAGCCTTGGGGCTTTAGTATCAAAGGGTGCTCACTCTGTGGCTCGGAGTCCGTCAGTATGGAACGATTTGGCGATCGAAAAACCGCCGATCGTCCAAAGTTGAACGATTCACGCGGTGTCAGAAATAGACGCCCAATTCGTCACGACACCGAGCTATGTTGACCGAATAATGCCGCGCGGACCTCCGAAAGTATACGATCGGGAGCATTTGGTCAGCGTGTCACGCCACCTGCTCTTGTCCACCGCATGTCGGACCGACGCGTTAACATGTTCCCCGTCCCCGAGCGTCAACGTTCTGGGCCTCTCCGAGCCTCCCGCCTGGCGGAACGGAGCGACACTATCTGCGGGCAACGTCTATATCCACATCCGGTGCGCCTTGGAGTTTCGGGCTCTCTTCCCCAGAATCCTGAGGCGCACTGGATATATATATATATATATATATATATATATATATATATATATATATATATATATGGTCGATCCCCCCCCCAGCGACCCCCCAGAGCGCCCAAAGCACGAATACACAACTCAACTTTGGCCTGCCATCCAGGCTGACGAACTCATCCGCTCGGCCCATCCGTCACGGGCACCGTGCGCGCAAGCATATCGGTTTCGGCCGAGGCCACGAAACACTGTGTATCACAGGTTTTTCTGGTTTTTCTGGTCTGGGAACCAACGAAACACTGCGTATCACAGGTTTTTCTGGTTTTTCTGGTTTCTGGAGCTGAAATGCTCGCCGCGGCCTCGCCCCACCGCTCCCCCACCTCCTGTTTGTCGGCGCCTGAAAACCAGAAAAACCAGAAAAACCTGTGATATACAATGTTTCGTTGGTTCCCAGACCAGAAAAACCAGAAACACCTGTGATACACAGTGTTTCGTGGCCTCCGAGCAAGGCTCTGGTTCTGGTTCTGGCTCTGGTTCTGGCTCTGGTTCTGGCTCTGGTTCTGGTTCTGGTTCTGGCTCTGGTTCTGGTTCTGGTTCTGGCTCTGGTTCTGGCTCTGGTTCTGGTTCTGGTTCTGGCTTTGGTTCTGGTTCTGGTTCTGGCTCCTACCAGTGGTTGTACTGGCACAGGGGCGAGGATTTGTGGCTGGCAACAGGGAAGATGCTGGAGGAGGCCTTCCTCAAGGACCACTGCCAGTGAGCGGCGAGCGCTGTAGTCCCCGAAGAGTACACAGTATTTTCTTGCTCGGAGGCCACGAAACACTGTGTATCACATGTGTTTCTGGTTTTTCTGGTCTGGGAACCAACGAAACATTGTATATCACAGGTTTTCTGGTTTTTCTGGTTTTCAGGTGCCGACAAACAGGAGGTGGGGGAGCGGTGGGGCGAGGCCGCGGTGAGCATTTCAGCTCCAGAAACCAGAAAAACCAGACAAACCTTTGACACGCAGTGTTTCGTTGGTTCCCAGACCAGAAAAACCAGAAAAACCTGCGATGCACAGTGTTTCGTGGCCTCGGCCGAAACCGATATGCTTGCGCGCACGGTGCCCGTGACGGATGGGCCGAGCGGATGAGTTCGTCAGCCTGGATGGCAGGCCAAAGTTGAGTTCTCCAACAGGGAGAGGACCAGGTGGAAGACCAGAAGGTGGAGGACGAGGGAGGAGGGAGGAGGAGGACGAGTAACAGGAGAAGCAGGAGGCGAGGGGGGAGATGGAAGAGGAGGGGGAGGATGAGGGAGAGTAAGATGAGGAGGAATACTTCTCGGGTCACAGCCCGCTGTGACAGACCATGTGTCTGCGGCTGTTCGGTGCCAGCATCTCAAGACCGCGGCTTCGTGTTTTGGGCGTTTTGGGGGGTCGCTGGGGGGGGGGGGGGGGGGGGGGGGGGGGGGGGGGGGGGGGGGGGGGGGGGGGGGCGAGCATATGTGTATATATATATATATATATATATATATATATATATATATATATATATATATATATATATATATAGGAGGCCTCTATGACAGGCGCAGACGGTCCGCTTCGATGCCCCCCCTGGGGTCCGAGGGGAGAAGAAGGGCTTCCGACGCAGTGCAGGCGCCGTGGTGGGGCACGGTCTGGGCGTGCCGCCTGGACAGCTGCGCGAGGCGAGAGATGTCCGTGCGGCGCGTTATCCAGAGGTGGATAGACCTCCTACCCTGACCCGTCGATTAAGGAATTGGCCGTTTTCGGTTCGCGAGAGGGCGTCGCGGCCGTCATTTTTGCGGGTCCAGGTCCGTCGGTTTCGGTCCCAGGCCGTTTTCACTAAGGGGAGGTTTACTGAAGGGAGGTTTGTCCACCGCCGAGTTATCCTGGCGGGTCCGTTCGCCTCCCCGTGGGGGGAGGGGGCGCCCAGTATCGGCACAGTCTCCGTGTGTGTGTGTGTGTGCCGCAGGGGTCGACGCAGCGCAGACGTAGAGTCGGCCCAGATTCGTAGGTCGACCCTGCCAGAGCAAGGGGATGTACCCTTGTGCCCTGTGGTTCGCGACCCGAGCTGTCTACATTCCCACGGCAACTCTGGCCCTCGGAAGGGTCTCGTGTCTTCTCGCGTGCCCTGTCCAATCAAGTCCCACTGTAGAGTACGGTTCGTGGATTGGCGATGGGTCCCCGTGGCGCATCGGGGCGTATCGCTCGTTGCACAAACTGTTGGCGCTCCGCGCGGGCGTCTTTCAGGTGGGAAGCAAAAAACACACACAGACACAAGTCATCGTCGAATCCCAGGAAGATACAGGAAAATATGGGAAGTGGGGGGAAGACAAAGGCCCAGAACTTGTGGGAAAATGTGGGGGATCCTGTCATCTGTGTGTGTTTACTTGTGCGTCCCAGGGCCCCCTTTCAGGCTTGGCTCCACGCCGAGGCCCCCCGGAGGCGCCCCCGGGCCCCGGCGCGTTCCGCTCGCCGGGGGGGGGTGTCCGGCGCAGATCCAAGAGATCCGCGCAGAACGCCAACAGTTCATGTGTGTACTGTTTCAGCCACGCGCAGAACGGGGGTAGGGGGAGGAGGGAAGGCTTCTTAGAAGCACCCCTGCTTCTTAGAAGGCGCGGGCCTTCTCTACACATGTAAGGCCAGGGCCTTCTAAGAAGCAGGGTGCTTCTAAGAAGCCTTCACCCCTCCTCCTACCTCCCTCTGCTCGCCGCCAACTGTTCTTGTTCCTCCACTCTCGGGCCGGACGAGAGGGGGGGATTGGAAAAGGGGGGGGGGTACGAAATCTGCTGCATGCAGCTGGTTTCGGCCCCACCGAGGGGCCCCTTCCTCGATGCATGGGCGCCTCGCGGCGCCGGGAGGCGCCGGGGAAAGCAGCTCCCGGGGCCCCCCCCTTTGCTATCCCCCCCTTCCGCCCAGCCCGACACACATATCTGGACGCCAGAAATAGGTACCAAAAGAATTGGTACAATGCCCAACAGCAGGGCTCGCTGTCGTCGCCGCGGTCTGTGTCCATTCGAGACAGAAGGACGCCTGCCCAACAGCGGCCGCTGTTGGTTTGGGACAATATTTGTTGTTGGGCATTGTACCCATTCTTTCCGTGCCCATTTCGGGCGTCCAAATCGTAGAGGATAGGAAGTGGATCACGCGCTGGAGCTTCGTTGTATGAGGTCTTCGTCATCAGGCTTCGTTGTATGTGGTCTGGGGGTGTTGTCAGATTTCGTCGGTATCTGGCCGAAGTTTGAACTCTTAAGGGTGAAGGGGGGTGGTCGAAATCTAGAGGAATCAGGTATGGCCAGGACCCCAGTTAAGGGGACCCGTTTAGTGGTAGGGCCCCGGAACCTTTGAATTGGCCAGAATCACTAAACCAGGTTTGCCATAGCTGGTGTTTTTTTCGGGTGACAGAAGTTCCGGTTAGTGGAAATGGGGCGGGGGGGCGCCCTTGGTAGAGACCACTGAACCAGGCTCCACTAAACCCAGTTCTGCCAACGCCCGAAGGAAGCCTGTTCGGAATTGGTGTGATAATAAGGCCGCGGAAGTCCACAGAGGCTCCCGTGAAGGCCGACGCAGGTCCTGCGTCCATATGCGGAGCGGCGCGCTGCGTCGCCGGAGCAGGCGGCCGTGGCGCCGCGTCTCGAGAGCTGCTCACCGATCCGTGCATCTGGCGCCCACGCGCCGCACCCACAGCTCTCGGGCCTTACGCTGTTCCAACCTACTTTGGCCTTGATCACCAGAAAGAATTTCGAGCCCCCCCAAAAAATTGCCGAAACTCACGGGCTTTCACACGTCGGGCCCCGGCAGGGAGACACTCGCCCGACACTGTTTCGACACTAATTTGACACTTTTCTGGGTGCTCGAAATTATTTCTGGGATGCGGTCCTTAAGTAGGATGGGAACAACATAACTCGGGTCCCTTAGTGGGCCCTGGAAACGACAGGGCCGTTTGTTTGCCGGTTCCGTTTTGCAGTTTTGTGCCAGTTCCGACGCCTTTTTGTTCCTGGTGCCGTCGCCGTTTTTTGACGGGTTCCGGCTCCGGTTCCAATCCTGGAGCCGTTTATTTGTTGCCGTTTCCGGTCGCGGTTTTTTGCCGTTTCCATTTTCAAGGGACATTCTTGGGAAACGGTAAAAAAACGGCCCTGCCGTTTCCGGGGCCCTCAAAGTCTGGTCCATGTTGGCGCGTGCCTGACATCGGCGGCCCGCCCGCCGCGCGGAAGCAGCGGCGGAGTGTGGGTGGCCAGGAGCACCTCGACGGCCACCTGCAGGGCCTGCGCGGGATGCTGGGGGCCACCCTCTTCGAGGGCCTGCTGCGGAAGCTGTCCCTGGGCTGCGGGGGGAGGGCCGCATTGCAACGGACAGGACAAGAGGAGGAGGAGGAACAGGAGGAGGAGGAGGAGGAGGAGGAGGAGGAGGAGGAGGAGGAGGAGGAGGAGGAGGAGGAGGAGGAGGAGGAGGAGGAGGAGGAGGAGGAGGAGGAGGAGGAGGAGGAGGAGGAGGAGGAGGAGGAGGAGGAGGAGGAGGTGAGGGGGGGAGGAGGAGGAGGAGGGAGGAGAGGAGGAGGAGGGGGAGGGGGGAGGAGGGGAGGAGGAAGAGGAGGAGAAGGAGAGGACGATGACGAGGACGAGGAGGAGGACGTGGAGGAGGAGGAAAGAGGAAGGAGGGAGGAGGAGCAGGAGGAGGAGGCGGAGGAGGAGGAAGAAGAGGAGGAGGAGGGAGAACAGGGAGGAGTGAGGAGGAGGAGGAGGAGGGAGCAGGGAAGAGGGAGGCGGCGGAGGAGGAGGAGGAGGAGGAAGGAGGGAGGAGGTAGTAGACACAACGAGCTTCGAAACGCAAGGCTCTTCGAACACACAGGAGGAGGAAGCGGGTGAGGAGGAGGAGGAGGAGGAGGAACAGGACAAGTTGCCAAGCGCGCGCCAGAAGAGGTAGGTCAGTTCCAGTGCCGGCCCAGAGCCTGACCCCAGCATACGTCCCCCTGGAGGTCGTCGGTCAAGCAGTGGCGAAGCGACCTGGCTCGCCTATAGCCCTACCCAGCAATGTTCTAAGGACCTTTCGTGGTTTCCACGAAATGTTCTTAGAACAGTTCTGGCGGAGTCTGTCGTGTTGTATCACATCGGGTTTCTGTTCTAAGAGCAATGTTTTTGGTCTGAGATAATTTGTAGGTTCTAAGAACACTTCGTGGTAGGACTTTTCGGAATGCTGGGGCGGCCGGTCCCTGCTCGAAGCATACGCCCCCCTGGGAGGTTGCCGGAGGCCTCCCAGAGGCGGGGGGAGGGGGGGCTCCCGAGGCCCCCGAGAGGGAGCCCTCCCGGCCACGTCCGATGCCCCGTTCCCCTCGATCCCCGAGCGGGGCAGGGCTCGGCGGCCGAGGTCTGCCCCCCCTCTTCGTCGCCATGGGGGGAAGCGGCTTCTGCGGTGTTTCACCGTTTTTGGTCTCTCGGGGCCCTCCACGGGCCCCGAGACTTCCAGGGGGTCACAGGATGAAGGGGCCCTCTCGGGCCCCTCAGGATGAAGAACTGGTCCTGTGGGGATGCCACAGGGTCCAGGACCCGTTTCCCTCAGGACCTATTTCCACTACGTGTGCCAGTTGATCCTCAAGTCGGGCCTGTCCCCCTACAGGGGGATTTTCGACGAAAAACAAAACATACCCCAAAAATAATGAAAGAATCTTCCACAAATCGTATGTGGGCTATTGTTTTGTATTCTTTGGCCTTTGGGGGGTATTTTGGAGTATTGTTTCTTTTCCGTCGAAAATCCCCCTGTAGGGGGACAAGCCCGACATAACTTCGTCGCCATGGGGGAAGCGGGTCCTGCGGTGTTTCACCGTCTTTGGTTTCTCGGGGCCCTCCACGGGCCCCGAGACTGCCAGGAAACCCCCCTCAGGATGGCGAACTGGTCCTGTGGGGAGGCCCTAGGGTCCAGGACCCGTTTCCCTCAGGACTTGTTTCCACTACGTAAGTGGGGCAGGGCTCGGCAGCCGAGGCTTGCCCCCTTTCGGATGCACCTCCTGGGACGTTTAGTTCAACATCGGCGATGGTAGATCCGTGGTCGAAAACGGGCCCAATCCGCTTAATCCAGCCAGATGCCGCATGATCCTTGCTACTCCTGGCGAGGTCCGGGGAGAAGCGGTGCGGGCTCCTTCCTGTTCCCCCGTAATGGTCTTCCGATCTGGCTGGACTCGACTTTACGTCTCCAGGCCTCCCCATTCGCTCCGAATAGACGGGGTCGAAGGATCGATCCGCGTTGCCGATGCATCGGCGATGCGGCTCGATGTGGAGGCAGAGATTCTCCACGCCGATGTCGCAGATGCATCGTCGACGTCGGCGATGCATCGCAGGTGCATTGCCGATGCAACGCCGATGCATCGCCGATATATCGCCGATAGATATCATCGATTCCGCGCGCCCCGTGTGTGAGGCTTCTATGATTCAGCTGCCTGCGGCAAGGCCCGCCACAGTGCAACCGCAGCATTCTGGGTGGCGACTGTTCGAGGGTGCACGGGAAGCCGTCGCGAGGATGAGTGTGGTGAGGATTGTGAGGATGATGGGGTAACGACGATTGGAATGGTTATGATAATGTTGATGTTGATGTTGATGATTATGACGATGGTGATGATGACGATTATAATGAGGATGTGGATGAGGTCGATGATGTTGATAGTGGTGTTGTTGATGACGACGTCCTTAATGACGATGGTGACGACGACGATGATAAAGATGATGTGACGGTGGTGTTGCTGATGACGACGATGATGGTGATGATGGTGATGATGGTGTTGCTGATTATAATGATGATGATGATGATGTTGATGGTGATGATGACGAGTAGGAGAAGAAGGATGGCGATGATGCTGATGATGATGGTGACGATGGTGATGGTGGTGATGATGACGAGGAGGAGGGGGAGGATGCGGATGAGATGGATGAGGGTGAGGAAGAGGACGAGACTGAAGACGATGATGACGACGATGACGTGGATTTTGATGATGCTGATGCTACAGCCGATGCAGATGATGCAATGATGATTATGACGATAACAGTTCTGTTGATCCTGCGGATACTGATGATGACGACGACGATGCTGATGATGATTCTGATGATGGCAATGATGATGATGATGATGATGACGATGCTGATGATGGTGAGGATGGCGATGCTGATACTCATGATGATTATGGTGATGGTGATGATGATGATGAGGATGATGCTGATGGTGATGTTGATGCTGACTATGATGATGATGATGATGATGATGATGATGATGATGGTGATGATGATGAAGCTGTTTATGCTGATCATGATGGTGCGCATGATGCCGATGGTGATGATGATGAGGATGATGATGATGGTGATGATGATGATGCTGCTGATGATGATGCTGATGATTATGAGGATGATGATGATGGGGATGTTGCTGTTGATTTTGATGATGGTGGTGATAGTGCTGATTTTCCTTCGACATCAGGACCAAACAGTTGAGCAAAACTGTTGAGCAACCAGTTTTAGAGATCAAAAATGATCTGTCGCAGAGAGCTCGATTGCTCCCTAAAGAGCTCGCTAGGAGCAGTGCTTCACGGGGTGCTGCACACATGTGCGCGCGGTCCAAGGAAAACCGTAGACAGCTGGCGATGCCCGCGTTGCATGCTGAGCGTTGGGAGGATCCGAGGTGGGAGAAGACAGCGTGGCTCAGGCTCGCCATGCACGTCCCGTCGTGAGGCCGATCATCTCGAATTCGTTCAGGGGGGGGGGCATCATGCTTGCATCTAGATAGCTCTCGGATTCGAATCTCTGCGAAGTGCATCAGTAGTACAACACGCCTTCCAGCACACCCAAGGACTGCGCGGACGAAAGATTCAAGAAAATCCTCTGCGCAGCGGTGGTACTGGCGAAGATACTCAGCTTTGACCATCTCCCCGTTGGTTGCACAAGTGAAGTAGTAGCGTCATGATGCCTCCCGTGGTACTGCTCCACTCCGTAGCGCATGACGTCGGCGAAGGGCTCATCGCAATGCTTCCCGTGAAACTGCTCCACCCCGTAGCGCATGATGTCGGCGAACGGCTCATCGTAGTGCCTCCAGTGGGACGGCTCCACTCCGTAGCGCATGATGTCGGCGAAGGGCTCGTCGTAGTGCCTCCTGCGGGGCAACTCCACTCCGTAGCGCATGATGTCGACGTAGGGCTCGTCGTAGTGCCTCCCGTGGAACTGTTCCACTCTGAAGCGCACAGTGTCGGCGAAGGGCTCGTCGTAGTGCCTCCTGTGGTACTATGCACTCCGTACAGCATGATGTCGGCGAAGGGCTCGTCGTAGTGCCTCTCGTGGCACTGCTCCGCTCCAGCGATGTTGGCAACGTCATCCTTGAGTGTGTCCCCCCGCACCTCGTCCATGAGCTTCGTGCGCGGCTCGTGCTCCGCCTTCAGGTTCTCCTGCTTGGATTATTCGGACTCCTCCTGCGTCAGCACGAACTGCGCGGAACGAAAGTGCAAGACGATGCGCACGTTGCCGTCGTCGCAGCCGTGGTACTCAACAATGTACACGATGTTGGACTGCTCTCCGTTGGCGGCACACGTGAAGTAGTAGCTCCTTTTGGCAGTACGCAAGAAGATGCGCACCTTGCCATCGTCGCAGCGGTGGCACTGGAAGTGATTCTCAACTTTGGACTTCGCTCGGTAAGATGCGCAGATGAGGTGGTAGTTCCCCATGACGATGGCAACCTGACCCTTGGTTTCGATCTTGTGGTTGTCGTACACCTTCTCGTCTTGGTTGCGCCGCACCACTGCCAACAACGTCGTAAGCAGCTCGTACTCCGCCTTCAGCGCCACCAGCTGATTCTTCTCGGCGCTGTCGAGCTGCTTGAGCTGCTGCTCGGTGTGCTCATTGGATGTGTGGCGCATGAGCAGCAGCTTGTTCTTGTAGTGCTGCTCCCACTTGTGGGAGACCTCCTCAACCAGTCTCATCATGCAACGCGTCAGCATGCCGCACGAGGCGCACCTCCGAAGCTGGCATCCGTGCGAGTTGCCATCGCAGTGTGCTCTCTGCCTCTTCACGAACAATATGGGGGATCTTCTGAGGAGACCGGTAAGTCACTGAAGGCTTGAGCGCGCGGCGGACTTGGATGATGAAGATGATGATGTTGATGGTGATGATGATCATGATGATGATGATCATGATGATGCTGATGATGATGATGACGATGATGATGATGCTGATGATGATGATGATGCTGATGATGATGATGATGATGATGATGATAATGATAATGGTGATGATGAGGATGATGAAGAAACAACGAAGAAGCTTGCTTTGGGCGTCGTGAGCTGTCTTGGCCCTCTGTGAGGCAGTATTGGGGGCCCCTGGGACCCTCTTGGGCAGTCTTGGGGCCCTCTTGCGCCGGCTTGGGGCTCCCTTGGGCCGTCTTCGGATGTTCTTGGCCATATGGTGGGTGTCCAGGGGCCGTCTTGGGCCGTCGAAGGGCCGCCTGAGGCCGTCTTGGGTCCCACGGGATGCCCTCTTGAGCCGTGTTTTGGCCGTCTCTCTTGGGCCTCGAGTTTTCTTGGGCCTTCTTGAGCTGACGGCAGTCCGAAAAGGCGAGAATGCGAACATAATTCACAAAACCCAATCGGACTCAATGATGTTAGCTGCTTCTGATACTGCTAGAGGTTCTCTTGGGGCAATTGTGGTGCCTCTTGGAGGAATCTTTGCCGTTTTGAATCAACATTCGGCCGCCTTGGGGCCATCTTGGGCCGTCTTCGAGGCATTTGGGGCAATCTTGGTGTCCTTGGTTGCCTGCGCGGGCCGTCTTGCAAGCTCGGGACACAGATCCACGGTTTTCAACGTGGGATCGTGGCTTGGGAGGCCCTGGAGCGTTTGGAGGCAGCGCAGGGGAGTGCGTGAGGTCCACGATGCTCGAGCGGGTGTGCTTGGGATGGGGAAATTAAAACTTAAGAGCCCTGCGGGAAATACACCATCCTCGAGCGCGCACGCAAGGAATCGGAGTCCAGGTTTTGTCTGCCATGCGGGAAGTGCACCATCCTCGAGCGGGCACGCGGTGAAGGGGGGTGAAGCATTAGCTGTCATGCTGGAAGTGCACCATCTTCGAGCGGGCACGAGGGAAGTGGCCTCGGCGAGTAGGGGGGATGCTCGCGGCAGACTGCGGGGAGAGGGAAGCGCAGGCCCTCATTAGAACTCCGGAATCAAAACCCTGCCAGACAGGCCGTGGCATTCCTCCGCGCCTCAGCCTGCCAGGGGCCACGGTGGCGGACCGTTCTGATGAAGACCTCCGATCTGCCCCCATGGAGGGGGCGGAGCTCGGCAGCCAAGGCCGGGCCTGGCCTCAGCCTCCCCGCACCAGAAGAGCAAGGGCGCCCTCGAGGGCGCGAAGTTCTTCGCGCTTCGCGCGTCACGGTTCGGCTCCGATTCCTCTTCGTCCTCCTCCTCCTCCTCCTCGTCCTTCTCCTCCTCCTCCACTTCTCCTCCTCCTCCTCCTCCTCCTCCTCCTCCTCCTCCTCTTCTCCCCTGGGAGGCGGCGCGGGAGCGCCTGTGTCTTCGCACTTCGCGCAGCGCGCAGCGCGCCGCGCGAAGTTGGGAGCCCTCGAAGAGCATCGGCGGAGAGCCCAGGGGGGGCGGGGGGGGAGAGAGAGGGCGAGCGGGCCTCCTCAGAAGGCCAGGGGCCCCCCCCCCCTGCCCTCTGAGAGGGAGGAGGAGGAGGAGGAGGAGGAGGAGGAGGGGGAGGGGGAGGAGGGAGGTGGAAGAAAAAGAGGAGGAGGAGGAGGACAATGGCGAGCTTGGGGGCCTCTTGGGCCGTCTTTGGGGGCTCTTGGCGGTCCGTGGGAGCCTTCCCCGGAGGCACAGAACAAATTGTCAGGATCCAGGCCCCCATAGATGGGGTCCGAGTCGATGGGGTCGGAGGATCGCGTCGCATCGCCGATGCATCGGCGATGCGGGCCCGATGTTCTTCGCGCCGGCGTCGCCGATGAAGCGCCGACGTCGACGATGCATCGCCAGTGCATCGCCGATGCATCGCCGATGCATTGCCGGTGCATCGCCGATGTATCGGCGATACGGTGCGATCCATCAACCCCATCTACTCCGACCCCATCTAGGAGGCCTCGACAGGAGGCGCGAGGGTTTTTTGAGAAGCCCCGCCGCCTGTCAGCCAGCGAAGAACCGTGTGACACATATTTGTTCGCCGTCGGGGACGCATGCCCCTTGGCGGCTGGAAAGTTCCACCCCGACGTGCCACCGCAAGGGTGCAACCTCTCCAGCCGCCCTGGGGCAGGCGTCCCTGGCGGCAGACAGTTTGATGGTATGCCGTTCTTCGCCTGCTAATTCTGAGGAAGTCTTCTCCTTGTCGCTTCCCCCCCTCGCTCGCCGCCGACCCCCCCGCACCGGGATAGCAGCCAGGTTCTACATTTGCTTCGCCGCGCTGGTGGTGCGCCTGTCCCGCCGCCGCGACCTGCAGGCCGCGTCGCAGGAGCCCTCGGGGGGGCTCCTCCCTCATCCCTCCTCCTCCTCCTCCTTCTCATCCTCCTCCTCCTCCTCCTCCTCCTCCTCTTCCTCCTCCTCCTCCTCCTCCTCCCTCCTCCTCCCCCTCCTCCTCCTCCCCCTTCTCCCCCTGCATCCCTCGTCCATATCATCCTTCCTCCCTCCTCTCCCTCGTCCTCCTCATACTTGCTCCTCCCCTTGTTCCTCCTCTTCCCCCTGCCTCCTCTTCTTCCTCCTCAGGTCCCTCGACGCTTCTCCTCCCTCGTCAGCCATCCTCATCCCTCGTTGTCCCTCCTCCTCCTCCTCCTCCCCTCCTCCTCCTCCTCCTCCTCCTCCTCTCCTCCTCCTCGTTGTCCCTCCTCCTCCTCCCTCGTTGTCCCTCCTCCTCCTCCTCCTCCTCCTCCTCCTCCTCCTCCTCCTCCTCGTCTCCCTTGATATGTCTTGGCTGATCACGGCCCCAGGCGCGTGACGTTGAGAACAAATTCGCCCTTGCTTGGGTCCTGCTCCTCGCTGAGGGCCGGAGATCGAGGTTGAACGTGCAATAGCCTTCACAGCCTTTTCCTCCTTTGGTTCTTCTTCCCTCCCCATCCTCCTCCCCCCTCCTCCTCCTCCTCCGCCTTCTCCTCCTCTCCTCCTCCTCCTCCTCCTCCTCCTCCTACTCCTCCCTGCCTCCCTCCCGTCCCTCCCTTCCCTCCCTCCCTCCCTCCCTCCCTCCCTCCCTCTCCTCATTCTCCTTCTCCTCCTCCTCCTCCTCCTCCTCCTCCTCCTCATCCTCCTCCTCGTCTCCCTTGGTATGTCTTGGCTGCTCACGGCCCCGGAGCATGACGCCAGGGCTCCAGCCTTTCCTTCCTTATTGCGAAGGCCTTACGGCCGGTGCCGCCGACCCTGTTCGCAATGCGCAGCAAGAGGCACGGGCTGTGGGATGGTAGAGGGGGGAAAGGCGCGGGGCGCGGGGCGCTCTCTTCCTGTGGAAAGGAAGGACAGGGGGAGGAAAGGGAAGGCTCCCCCCCGTGTGGACAGGGGGAACAGAGGGGGCTCTGGACAGGGGGAACAGAGGGGGGACGGGGGAGAGGGGGGAAAGGCGCGGGGCGCGGGGCGCTCTCTTCCTGTGGACAGGAAGGACAGGGGGAGTAAAGGGGGGGCCCCCCCCCGTGTGGACAGGGGGAACAGAGGGGGGCTCTCTGAGGCGCTCTCCTCCTCGGGCGCGGCTCGGGGGCGGCTCGGGCGGCTCGGGCGCGGCCTGAAACAAGAAATAATCCTTACGTGGAGTACTTACGGGGAGGGCGTCGTATCTGACCCGGGACTTCCCCGGGACTCCCCCGGGACCCCCCCCGGGACCCCCCCTCCCCCCCCCGTCGGGGAAGGGAAAGGGAAGGGGCTTCCCTTCGACTCAATTACGACGTTGCTCAGAGTCGGTTTGGCAGGCGCGCTTGAGGAGGAGGCCCTGGGAAAGACCCTCCCTCTCCCTCCCGGCGGGGGAGAGATTAAAGGGAAGGGGCTTCCCTTCGAATCAATTACGACGTTGCTGAAGGTCGGTTTGGCTAGCGCGCTTGAGGAGGAGGCCCTGGGAAAGGGCGAGGGGAGCGGGGAGGAGCCCAGGGGAAGAGGGGTACCAGGGAAAGGGAACGACAGAGACGACGATTACATAGAATGACGGAGATGACGGCTCGAACGGAAAAGCCCCTCACACACGCCGACAGGGTCGGCGGATTTCCTCTTCCCTCCCCCCCTTCCTTGCCTTGATGCTCGCGCTGCTGCACCCTTCTCGTGGCATTGCGACCTGGAACGACACTGTTGGGCGGAGGCTCGAGAAGCTTCTGACGGGCGGCGTGTCGCCGCGGAGGCAAACATTTCGACGGCCTCTGGGCGCCCGCTTCGAGTCCTGGGGCCGCCAGGCATGCCCCCGCGAGGGAAGGCCAGCCAGGACGGCGTGTGCGAAGTCCATATTGATTGGCCTCATTCTGACCGTTCTGAGCCTTTTGGGGGGCCGTTTTTTGAAACGTGGTTTGAACCATTTATGCCGAAGGGAGCTGGGTTTGAACCGTTCATTGTTATGACGAGACGGATGCACTCTCCTCCCCATTCTCCATGTCCTCCTCCCCCTGCCCCCCGTCCTTTTTCCTCCATCTCCTTCTGTCGGTTCCTCCCTGATCTCTGTTCTCCTCCCTTTCCGCTTTCCCCCATGCTCCTCCTCCGTGTTCACCCCTGTTTCCCTCAGCAAGTGAGGGCCTCTTGCACGACCGATGGGAGGACCTGGCGTTCGGAGGAGCTAGAAGTCGGGGGTCGACATAACCCCCACCCTGACACCTCGATTAGTGAATTGTCCGTGTTGGGTTCTCGCGAGGGCGCCGCGTCCGTCATTTTCCAGGCATGCGCCCGCCAGGTTTGGGCTCGGGGCCGCTGTCACTAAACCACGTTGTACTGAAGGGGCCCCTGTCCATCCCCGAGCAGGACACTACAGCGCCGTTTGTAATGCATGCTCCGCGTGCGGATCATGTACTAAACATGCAGGCATGCAGTATCAAAAACAACGGTGAGCCCATGCATAAATTTACGCATATCATGTCTTGAAAATCCGAGATGTCTATATATATATACATATATATACATATATATATATATATGTATATGTATGTGTATATATATGCATATATATACATATGTATTAACACCTGCGCTGTATGGTTCCAGGCCTGAGCGTGCCGAGTGCCTGCCGAGGCCGGCACGGACCACCAGGGGGGAGGGGCTGCCCGTGTGCAGCCCGCAGCCTTGCCAGCCCAGGGCTCCCGACGGTGCGGGCCCCTCGAGACGGGGGTCAATGCAAACGGGGCTCGGCCAGAGCGCCCGATCTTGCAGGATCCTGCAGGGCCAGGGGCGCACTGACCCGGGCCTGGGCGCAGGATCCTGCAGGATCCCTCGCATTGGCCCGGGCTTGGGTGCAGGATCCAGCAGGGTCCTGCAGGATCTTGTAAGGCCCGACTGACCCGGGTCTGGATTGACTTGGGTCAGCAGATCCCCGAGCCAGTGCAGCCGATTCTGTGCGCAACGGGCAGCAAGAGACAAAGACAGTGGGATATTGAGCAGGAGGAGCAGGAGGAGAAGGAGGAGGAGGAGGAGGTGGAGGAGGAGGAGGAGGAGCAGGAGGAGGAGGAGGAGGAGGAGTAGGAGGGAGAAGGAGGAGGAGGAGGAGGACTGACCCGGGTCAGCAGATCCCCGAGGAAGGGGGGGGGCAGGGGAGCCACGAGTGCAGGCCACCGCCCCACCTCCGGCCGGGCCTCCGGCGCCTCGAGGAGTCTCCTGCGAGGCAGCCCCCGAGATCCTGTCGCTGCCAGTTTTTGTTCGCACGAGGATGGATGAGGAGGGAGGAGGAGGAGGGAAGAGAAACATGAGGAGGAGCGAGGGAGGAGGGAGGCAGGAGGAGGAGGAGGAGGAGGAGGAGGAGTCGGGCCCCAGGACCCTCACGGACCGATCCGGCTCGAATTACGACGCCGAAGGATGCGGTCCAGGGGCTCCGGGTGGGCTAGCTTGCAAGGGCGTAAAAAAACGGCTGGGTAAGCCCTGCGTGTCGGCCGCGCCGCGCGGCGTCCTGGCGGCTCTCTGGCCGGTGGGAGTGTTTACTGACCACGGACTGGTAACCCCGAGTAGGGACGCTTTTTTCTGTTGTTCCCAATTGTTCTGCGATGTTGCAGTGTTTTGGCAACGTCGGATCTGAGGGAGACGCGGCCCCCCGACCTCTCCACCGCTTCCCCTAGGACGGGTCTCTCGTCCCGAGCAGTCCTACACCGCCCGGTGGGCCGGGAAGGGCCCCGAGAGGCCGAACGTTGTGCAACAGGTCCGTCCCGACATGTTCGAGGCGCCCGATGTCTGGACCTTCCTCTCTCAGGAGAAGAAGAAACATCGGCATAAACACATATATGTATATATTGTGGAGCACGAGGGGTGTGTGTATATATATATATATATACATATACACGTGTGTGTGTGTGGGTATTGTTTGTGCTCCGCGCGAGTAGCTTGGATCTGCGCTGGACCCCCTCCCTGGCGCGCGGTGCGCTGCAGGGGCGGCGCCAGAGGCGCCGCGGGGGGGGCCCAGCGCGGATCCGAGAACTCCACGCGGAGCACCACATGTTGATGCTTGAGTATGCCATTCTGCATATGACGTTTTTCTTATCCTTATTCTGACTATGCTTAGTTTTCGTCTAATTGTTCTACGTTTCAATACTTATTATGACTAAGTTTACGCTCAAGTTCATGCTTAAGTATACCTTTTCCTCCTCTTTTACTAGATGTATGACGCTTTTTCTTCGATGTTGTTTAAGGAACCAGCGCGGAGGGCCAAACGTTTGTGCCTACGACGTGTCGCTCCTCTTCGACTCTCAAGTCGGGCATGTCCCTCTACAGGAGACATGTTCAAAAATAGTCATAACAATACTCCGGGGACGATGTTTGTTCTGATGTCTTGCTTTTGCTGTTCAATTGTTGTTTGGTCTTTGTGTTGTGTACGCTCCATGTTCTGCCAAACACAGTCGACCCGCAGAGTAAGGATAGGCATCCCTCCCAAGGGTACCCTTGCATCTTTGCCTCCTGGGTCCATCCTTGGACACTCTCATTGGCTGCGCCCCGCTCGAGACGCTTCGAAGTGGGCGTCCAGGGGTCTTGCATCCTTCTCGCGCATCCTTACTCTGCGGGTTAACTGCTTCCGCCTGCAGCAGGACCTGCCCGACCCACCTCTGCCCCGGGGCCGTGCGCCCGCGGCAGCCCTCCCCGGCAGGAGGCGGAGGAACTCTGCGGCTACTTCCACGCGCAGGCTGCCCGGGCCGCGGCCGCGGCGGGCCCGCCGCCGCCGCGGGCAGGCGGCCCGCGGCGCGGCTGCTGCGGAGGGTCTGCGCGGGGGCAGCGCTGGTCGGGGCGTCAAGAGTCGGGTTGACCTGCAAGTCGTAGGAGGAAGAGGTACCCATACCTCTGCCCTCTCCTCGTTTTCCCCTTTTTGGTTGGCCTCCTCGAAGGCCCTCGTCGCCACCGCTGGATTCGCGTCGAAATCCGGGTCAGAACGCACTCCGGGAGAGGTCCGGGGGGTAGCGGTATCGGTACCTGCTTGGTTCTCCAGAAAGGGGGTCCAGCGACAAGGGGGTGGTGCAACAGTTTTGATGCATTCGATTTGTGGGGTTGCAATGGGTTTGGGGCGTGCAGTACATTCCGGGTCGCACATGTGTTGCTGGGTTCTCGCGTGCAATATATTACTTGCAATACAATACAAAACAATACAATACAATACAATACAATACAATACAATTCTCCGGCGCAGTACATTTGCAATACAATTGCCCCACATCTATTGCACCACCCCCTTTCAGGCCCTTTCAGCTGAATCCCCTTCTGGGTCGCAAGGCAAGATGAACAGTTTGAAACCGACCCCAGCCCTCACAACAATGGATTTTAGATGACAGCGGACCGCAAGTACGGCGAATGTGCGTAAGTGTAGGCGCCTTGTAAGCGGGGCCACTGCCAGCTGCCTCAGGGCGGGGAGGGTCCGCGCGCGCGCGGTCTAGTTGGTTTTAAGTTCCTCATGTAGGGGCGGGGGGGCGGTTTCCATGCGTTCACAAGACCCAGACCCCCTCGAGCCACGAGAAGATCACGACGGGATGTTTTTTTCGCAATGTTCTACCTCTGGGGGCCCTTCCCGGGCCTCGGGACTGTGAAACAATGATTTCGGATGGCAAGCCGGTCCCGGGGAACGGGTCGAGACCTCTGGGGGGTTCGACGGCATGACAAAAATATGACGTCGGGGGTCTGGGAGGGGGTGAAGACTTGGGGGGGGGGGGTATCATGGCTGGGTCATACAAGTCTCCGAACTCCATGGCGCTTTCCTTGTTTCAATGCGCTCCTGGGCCGCCCCCTGGGCCGCGCACGGGCCTCGGGCCAGGATTTGCGGATCCCCCTCCTCCTCCTCCTCCTCCTCCTCCTCCTCCTCCTCCTCCTCCTCCTCCTCCGCCTCCTCCTCCTCCTCCTCCTCCTCCTCCTCCCCCTCCTCCTCCGCCTCCTCCTCCTCCTCCTCCTCCCGTCTTGGACGCCAGGTGGTCGAATACGGTTGGTGGGAGTTCCCTGGCGGTTTCGAGCCCCGGCGTGGTCTCCACCAGCCGCCGCGGCCCCCCCTGCAGGGTCAGGGGCAGGGGCATGGGGCAACATCAGGGCGGGGATGGGTTAGGCTCAGGCGTCTGAGGTTCAGGGTTTTCGGGCGCTCTTCGTCGGGCCTCAATGGTTTCCCAGCGTCGGGGTGCTCTCCGGCAGCTGCTTCTCGCCGAGAGCGCTCCGAGGGTGCCCGAATCCTGCCAGCCTGCTGCCAGAGAGCCGAGTCATGACCCGAAGACTACGGGGGAGCGCTAGGTGGGGATGGGCTCCTGGGGGGACGCATCGACCCCACATCGCCCATTGATCGCCGATTGCGGCCCAAGATAGCCCGCCCCGCTCTGGACCGCGCGGCTTCGCTATCGGGGGCCCATCGCCGGTCCGTCGGCGATGTAGCGGAGGTTCCCGCTGAGCTGGTCCCCCCTGGACGTTGCACGCCCGCTTTGCTCAGGAAGTGCCAAGGGGCGCCAGCACCAGTCAGGGGAGGATCGGAGGCTCATAGAACGCCCACCCTTGGAAGACGAGACTGCACACAAGCAACAGCTTCCGGAGGCCCAGCGTGGACGTCTTGGTTCTGCGCTGGGCCCCCCTGGCGGCAGAAGGGACAGCCTCGGACAGAGACGATCCTCCAGGAAGAGGCGGCTGCATCAGCATGAACGAACTGGAGGAGGGGTTCATCCCTCAAACCACCTCCTCCTCTTCCTCTTCCTCGTCCTCCTCCTCCTCCTCCTCCTCCTCCTCCTCCTCCTCCTACCCGCTCGTGCCCGCCGGCGACCAGGCGCCTCCGTGCTGTCTCCTGGGTGTGGAGCTGAACCTTCCTGGGTACGCTGGGCTCCTCCTCCTCCTCCTCCTCCTCCTCCTCCTCCTCCTCCTCCTCCTCCTCCTCCTCCTCCTCCTCCTCCTCTTGGATCGGCGTTGCACCCGACTCTCTGGTGCAGCGCCTCCCTTGCCACGGCGACTCGCGGACTACCCTTTTTTTTGTGCGGCTCTCGGGCGGGCTGCGCGGCCGGCTGTGCTGTGGGCCCGCGCCCGCTGGGTCTGGTGTCGGGCCGTGTTCCTCGAATGGCGTTTTATGTTTGGTCAGTCCTCCTCCTCCTCCTCCTCCTCCTCCTCCTCCTCGCGCTCCTCCTCCTCCTCCTCCTCCTCCTCCTCCTCCTCCTCCTCCTCCTCCTCCTCCAGGGATCAGTCTCGTTGTGCCGATCCCCATCCCGATCCCCATCCCCTTCGAGGCCCCACCGAATGACCACCCCAGTTGGGGATGCACCCAGTTGTGGATACACCCCAGCGGGGCCCAAGCCACGCCGCTGGGGATGGGGATCGGCGAAACGGTACTCAGGAGAGGGACCCAGTCCGCCCCCGAATACCGACCCCGCGTCCCTGTCCCTCGTCGCCGCAGCTGGGGTCGCCTTGGCACGCCTGGTCAGAACGCACCACGGGGGAGAGGCCCGGGGAGCAGCCGTGGCGGCACCTGTCTGTCCTCCCGGCTCGGGGGGTCACCACCTCCTCCAGCCAAACCGAGGATCGAGCAGGAGGGGGATCGCAGGGCCCTGCCCGAAAGGTTTGTCCACTCAGGAACAAGGGGGATACCCTGGGATACAGCCCAAGGGGGCTACATCAGAGCCCCGAATCATCAGGGCTGGGGGCGGTCAGGGATAGCTACATATTCGCGCCTCGGGGGCCCAACCTGGAGTTATCCCGGACCGCAGCTATCCCAGAAAAACTCGGGCGTCCTACAGATACCCTGGACAGCAGTTATCCCGGATAATTTGGGCG